TTTGTAGTGCTGATTGAAGGAATTGAAGTAGTTTGATTGAAATCTACTGAAGGATCTTTTGTCGAATAACTGCTAATCTCTTCTTTAGTAGTCTCGACAATCTCTTCCTTTTTGGAAGTTTCAACAATCTCTTCTATTTTTGTAGTTGTTGTCTCTTGAGTAGTAGTTTCTGTAGTTTCTCTTTTATCTACAATTACAAAAAATTTTTTTGAATTTTTACTAGAAATTCCGGGAGCAGGCCAAGGTACCGCAGAGCTATAACTTTGTTCAGAATGGTCGAATCCGGGACGCCCTGGTATGGTTCGATTCGGCTCGCCGAGGCGCATCGAACCATACCAGGGCGTCCCGGATTCGACGATTCTGAACAAAGTTATAGCTCTGCGGTACCTTGGGACTGCGATACCCTTACCCGAAATTTCTCTCTTAAATTTACCTTTAGAAGGTTTGGAAGAAGTTAAAACATCATTATTTTGCACTGTTGTTTGACTGTCACGAATTGGCAATGGATGAAGCAATCCCTTATAGAATGGTTTTTCATCTGTTTGATTAACAGTTCTATTTGATGGCGCTCCAATAATTAACATTTGATATTCTTTACGAGACTTTAAAAATATTTTTAAAATTAAAATTCTTCAAAGAAACTCACAAAAACAATTTTCACATTATCACATTCAGTACCAACATTGTGCCCTTTCATTATACCAACACTACGATGACGAGGTACCAGCATTGGCAGGAAATAAAAAGTCAACAATTTTTTATTTTCAAATTCCCCTCTCGTAGCGTTAATAATTTCCCACATTTTTGGTTCAAGAATTGAATTGACACAAGCAAAAGAAGTGTGGACTTGTTCCAACATTTTTTCTTTTTCCGTCAAAACCCATTTATTGTCCAAAAACATTGCAAGATTCCCAATATCAATACTTTTGTCTTTGTTGATTCTTACAGAGACTTTTACGGCAGTAGACTGATTATTGAACTTTCCCTTCACGCCAGCAGCCATTTCACTAGCACCAACTAACAAAATTTTTGGAAAAACTTTTATTAACCGAGAAGAGAATTTACCCGGAAATATAGATGCCAGTAAACTTGAATGTGAATTGTGTGGAGTAACACATCTCCATTCAAATTCCAATGGCGTCCAAGGCATGCAATCGGGCTTTTTAAGGTTCGAACCGGGATAGTATTCTCCTGATTTTTTACATTGATCTCTATTTGGACATGTTGAACCCTCTCCATAAAGAGGTCCTTGGTTTTTTCTGATCCTAACGAATTGTTCACAGCCCAAACCATAAGCAAAAGGCAGACTAAAAAACAAAAAGAAATTTATTTTTTCTTTAATGTTTATTAGTAAGGTTGTCGGATAGTTTGAGATTTTCGGATATCCGGATCCGATATTCGAACCGAAATTTTCGGATAACCTTATCAGATTAACTTACATATTCCCTCCTTCTCGATTTGCGATTTGGCAATCTTCACGTTTTATACAATCCTTCAATAACAGCAAAACAGTAAACTCGATGTGATCACTTTCTGTGATTAAATCAACAGAACATCCTTTCCATTCAACCCATTCTTGTTCATACTCCAGAATTCTGAAAATAAAAAAATATTTTTTTAATATCTAATCAAGCACCATACATATATTCTTCATTTAGATCACTAATACATGCAGAATAGGGTTTGTCCATATCGATATGCTTCTCAACTTGACTGTCTAAAACATCATTGATATTATCAGCAATCAAGCTTTTGTCATTCAAAATGACAGTTTTATTCTCCAATTGCACAAAATGATTGCCGTATCCAACTACAATAGAATCTTTGTCATATCCTTGTTTTTCAGAATTAGCTAGAGTTGAAGAAATTGAGAGCCAAAACAGCCAAAACGAACAGAAGAACATACTGATTGCACAATACCTAAATAATTAAAAGATTTGTTGAATTAAGGAGATTAAGTTAATGAGGTGTTGGTTTATCTGCTTTTATAGTAGTGTAATTTGTTGACGGTGAGAGGCAGGAGTAAGCGCGTTATCCCTTCAAATCCTCTGATATCACCGGTATCAACATAACTACTGATAGCCCTTTATCCTCCGTTATCTCCCAACACACCAGAAATCCGTCGATGGTGAGAGTGGTAGAGGTTGAGACAGGAAACTTTGGATTCTGTGGATAGATCATGTCGGTCAACTTCAACTAAACCAATTCAATTACTTGATTATTTTATTGTCTTTAATCTTTTAAAAAAAACTAAACCGTAAAAAACAAGTGTGTCATTCCTTTCCTTTACTTTTAACAATTTTCGACCTCGAATTTCTTTCAACTCACTCCAATAGCTTTACAACAAAGTGGCAACTTTCTAGAAGCAACTACAGCATTCTGTAGTTAAGTTTCTCGAACTTAACCAGGGGGAAGAGCCAACAAAAATATCTACAATCATTATTGAATAGAATTTTTCTGGTTAAATATCTTTATTTTTAAGGTCTCTATTTGAAGCTTGTTTTTTCAGTTCGAGGTTTTACTTAAAATACAAGTTAAACTGTACTTAATTTTGAAATATTTTCCTTCAATTTATTTAATTTCTTACAAATTTGAAGTAAATGTCTGAAAATGTTTATTAATAATTTACAACTTAATTTATTTTAGTTTAATTTTTCCCACGTTTTTCATAAGAATTTACTTAATTAAAAATAAAAATATACTATTTATTTACACATATATTTATTATAAATTTTTTAACGAAACAAAAAATAATAATAAACTTTTTTTTATTTTTTGATAAAAAATATAGGAAAAAATAAAAATAATAAAATTATATACATATTTAAATAAATCCTTATTTTTTTTCAAAATTATTTAAAGTAAATATATTTTTTTGCAGAAAAATATTTTTGAAACTAAAATAGAAAAATACAAAATTCTTCTAAAAATATTTTTTTTCTTTTTGTTAATACAATTTTCCACTCCATTCAATTATTCTGATTAATCGTTGCTTAGCACGCACAAATAATACTTTTTATTTTTTTATTTTTAAAATCTCAACTATTCGTCCAAAAAAGTTTTTCTTGTCACGAATTTTTTATTAAATAAAAACAACCTATTGATAATTTAAAAAATTTATAAAATTTTATTCGTTATGGCACCTCCACCAGATACACCTGTTGGAAGTGTTTGGCGTAGAGCTTCTTTGCTGTAAGTTTATTATTATTCAATTATATTTTAATCCGCGAAGCTATAACTTTCGCTAAGAGTATCAGATTTTGAAATCTTTATTATTGTTTGATTTAGTACGTTGAGATGCTCCTAACTAGGGTTTACATTTACAGTGAGGTGGCTGTTTTCACGGGGACGGGGGTTGAGGTGGTTTTAGCCTCGGGGACGGGGACGGTAGCCTCCCACCGTCCCCGGTGAACCCCTGTCCTCGTGGACGGGGATTGAACCATACTCTAAGCATAATTTCAGAGATTCTATAATCAAAAGAATTTATAGCTTAGCGATGAATTTGTTTAAATGTTCCCCAAAAAACTTAAAATTTTATGTGATAAAACAGGTGAAAAATAAAAATAAGAATGCTAAAAATGATATCATTTGTCTATACAAATATATTAATTTATTGTTTCCTTATTTTTAAAATTAAATACATACTTATATAATTCATATTTGTGTTTTAATTTTAATAAATAAAAATAAAAACTTGGCCTTAATTTGGGCAATTTTAAAAATTTGGGCTTTTTTGACTTTACAAAAATTTTTTTAATTTATAGAGATAAGTTTTTATTTAATTTAAATTTTATTTATTCAATTATACTTAAGATTAATTTTTATTTTTTATTTAATATTAACTCAAAATATTTTATATAAAAAAATCTTTAAAATATTCTTCTCATATTTTTTTAAATTTTACCATCAATTAATATATACTAAGGATTTGTAAAAGATTGTTATTATTACAAAAAATATTCCCACAGTTTTTTTTTGTAAAATATTTATTTTTTAGTACAAACAATTTTTAATTCAAAAAATAAATGACCAAAACCTTTTTAATATTTTTTGAGAAGAAATTTATATCTAAAAATAAGAAAATTTAATCAAAAAAAAATAAGTGTGCCATTCCTCTCTTTTTTTAGAAAGAATATTTTTGAATTGGTTATTTTCCCAAAAAATAATGGAAATAAATAAAAAATAAAGAATATTTTTAAATTTAAAACAGAATATGGCGCTGGTCTAGTTTATGCGTCCAATGAATTTTTACGCGTCCATTGAAAAGTTTGTGAGTCCAGTGAACCCTGATACCCAGAGCGTCCAATGAAAAGTTAGTGACTGACACTGAACCTGATAATAATAGTGAACCTTGATACATACACAGATACTATACTCATAATTTTTCATTGGGCACGTAAACTTTTAATTGGACTCATAAAGTTTCATTGGTCTCATGAAAGGCCATTAGGTGCATAAACTAAACCAGAGTCAGAATATTTTCTTTCATTAAAATATTTAAAATTTGTCTAAATTTAAACATATTTTCTTTCTTTTTTATTAAATATCCATTAATTTCGTCCCCAGGAAGCAACGTGTTTTCCAAGGTAAAATCATCTACTACTACATATATAGTATTTGTATTAATTCCTCACTTCCGTCTAAATAAAAGACAGAAAAAAAGCTAAAAATATTTTTGTTTAGAATAAACACTCATTTTCTACTTATTTTTTCATTATTTTTAATACATAAGCAATTACTTTAAGCAAAGCTATCAAATCCAGGGCACTTTAAAGAAAAAAATATTTTTAAGTGAAAATGGGATTTATTAAAAATTCCTTAATAAAAATATTTTTTTTAAATCTTTCCAAAAATAAATATAAATAGAGGCATTCCATTAATATATTTTTTAAATATATAAATTGAATTTTTTTTAAATTAATTAAACAAAAAATTTAAAAATCTATATTTAAATTAGTTAAATAAATTATTTTAAAAATTACAAAAAAATTCTTTTTCCCTCTCGTATGTGCCAAACAATCAATGCTAACAAAATTATTATCAAGTTTTTATTCCTGTAGTGCAGCAGTAACAGGCACCGAACCCTTGTCTAGAACCGCAGCTGTAGCTACCGCTGGGGCAACTACAGACATGTTCTTTCAAGCAACGTTGGCAAGAACTTTTATTTCGACTTTAAAACTTAGAGGGGACGATGATGTTGTTGACAGACTTAATTATTATTATACGCCAATTATGCTGGCAATTGCTTGTTTGGTGGTTTCTGCTAAACAAGTAATTTTGGGGAAAAATTTTAAAAAATATTTTTAAAATAGTTTGGAGGTTCTCCTATTGAATGTTGGGTTAATCCTCATTCTAGAGAAAGTATGGAAGAATATATTGAGGCTTTTTGTTGGATACAAAATACTTATTGGTATTTTAGAAATAAAAATAATTTTAAAATTATTTAAAGGGTTCCAATGTATGAACATATACCTGACAGTCATGAAACTAGAGAAGGTGGAAATATTAAAAAATAAATTTAAAATTAAAAAGAAAATTAATTTTTAGGACAACAAATAGGTTATTATCAATGGGTAATTAAAATATAAATTAATAAAAATATTTATCTTTAATTAATTTAGGTCCCCTTTATTTTAATTGCCCAAGCTTTAGCTTTTTCCTTGCCTTGCATTCTTTGGAGGTTATTAAATTGGCAAAATGGTTGTTTTAAGATTAATGGAAGGAAAATTATATTTAAAAAAAGGTACAAATATTCACCATCTTATTTCCGCAGCGGAAGGTGCTAGAACTGTTTTGGACCAAAACGAACGAGAAAAGGTTTTTCATGCCTTGGCATTAACATTTACGGAAATGATTGATTTGAGAGAAGTGAGTGGAATATTAATTTTATTAAAATAAAAAAATCTTGAAAACATTGAAGAAAAGCATAGAAGATTAATTATTTTATAACATTTTTTATTACCAAAAAAGATATTTCTAATACCTAGTAGACCCAATTCCGAAATCTGGATTTTATTTTTTTATGTAGGCTAGAAAATCTGTGGATATCTAAAAAGTGTTAAATTAAATTTTATAATTAAGTATAATATTGACAATTATTTTTGTATAATTTAGACAGAATATTGTCCTCATCCGGCTGCTTCCATTTTCACTAGATTTAGACCGACTAGGTAAAATTCTAATTTAAATTTTAAGAAATTTTCAATTTAAATCATTTAAAGATTACTTAAAGGCCAACTAATTTCTTGTTTATATTTATTTATTAAATGTTTTTATACGGCAAATATTCTTTTACAATTTTCACTTTTAAATGCAGCATTAAAATCAGACGAATATTTATTTTATGGTTTTCAAGTTATTTCTGATTTGATTGAGGGAAAAGCTTGGACAAAGTAAAAAATATTAAAATAAAACTTAATTTTATTAAAATTATTTAATATACAGGTCAGGTCACTTTCCAAGGTAAAGGAAATAATTTTAAAAATAAATTAAAAATTGTGATATAAATTTTAAGATACTATACAGTCTAACCTCATATTTTGATAAAACATTTGGGGCCAAAATAATTATACCTTATAATAAGGTTAATCTTAAATGGTGGTATTGTTTAGATAGCTGCTACTTTTTAGTATCTAACCAAATTTTAGAAAATATACCTTAATCGAGGTCTAGTTTGGATGGTTGTCTTCCAGTGTAGTTAGGCTGTTATATCAGGGATGGAACGTGTTGAAAATCTCGGGTCGGATTTTCAAAACTTTCTTCGGATCGGGGTTCGGGTCGAAAAAAGTCCGGGTTTTGGGTATCGGGTTTCAGGTAACCGGTTCCACCCCTGCTGTATATATTACTATTCATGATTATTAATTACTCAAAAAATTTAAAAAAATACAAAAAAAAAATAAAAAAGGACCAACTTTCAAGAGTAACTCTTTGCGATTTTGAAGTGCGTTATTTGGCAAATTTGAATAGGTAAATATTAAAATTAATCTAAAGAAATATTTTTAAAAAGATACACAGTTCAATGTGCTCTTTTAATTAATATAATTAATGAAAAAGTTTTTACATTTTTTTGGCTTTGGTATTGCCTTCTTTTGTGTATTACTACGTAAATATTTCTTAAAATAATTTTAAAAAGTATAGTAGGACTTCTATATATAGTGAATACTAGTAATTATGTAAACCTCTGTTTAAGACCTGGTTAGCCATTAGATGAGGGTAACTGTCCAAGAAGGGGAACTGCCCTCTTTTTGGAACCATTCCTTAGCCTCAAAGAGATACATATGTAAAAAGAAATTCGAGTACTTTAAATTAGAGACCGGACTGGGAGCGTCGTACAAGAATCGAGATCTCGAAAGATTCTCGATCTCAATAACCGAGATTTTCGATCGTCTCTACTTTAAATTATGTTTTCAATAATTTTTAAATTAAAAGCTGTTCAACATTATTTTGGTTAACAAATATTTTATTACATGCAGCAAAAGTTGATTATATTTTACGTTTTATGCAAATAGCCGAAAATTCTTGTCAATTTATTAATCCAAATATTCAATCAACCCCTTTTCCTCAAAGGACAAGAATTGCTGAAGAAGAGGGAGATTATTTGATTGAGGGAGGTGGACATTCTTTTGTCCCTTTTCGAGTACCAAATCAACATGGAATTGATAAATTTGTTGATGATTTTTTAAAATCTGATGGGGTTTTTGTTAAGTATATCCAGTTAAATAATTATTTTTTAAAGTTATTTATTCTTCGTATGATTGCTAACCATGCAGGTGAATTGGCTGTTGTTGGAATTGTGAAACATTTATGGAAGTAAATATTTAAATATTTTTTTACAGAAATATTTTCTAAAGGTCTAGGTAATCTAGATATTTATGTAATTTATTGAATAATTAAGACATGACCTTATTAGTTACTACTGGTTTATGTATCAATCAGAACTACGGCATCTCTCACAAGGGTTTCCCTTGCCCCTTTTCTCCTTGTAAGGATTTTTAATATTCACTTAAGCGATTTAAATGCTGCCAGGTGAACCAGTTTTCATGAATTGTTTAGAATATGTTACATTTTTAAGGATATGTGGAAACCCCCTGGCCCGATATTTTTTTGTTTAAATAAAAATTACCCCAAAAAATTTTTCATTTTAAAGTATATTTTCATCAAGACAATTTAATTATCGTCCTTTTATCTTCCAAAATGAAATAAATAATCATTTGGAAGAAGAAAAACAACAAATTATTTTCGTGTCCGGTTAACTCATCTACTCGTTAACTCATCTACACGGCCAAAAACGTTCAACTCATCTAAACGGCTAAAATTCCTTAACTCATCTACACGGCCAAAAAGGGTTAACTCATCTAATCGTTAACTCATCTAATCCTTAACTCATCTACACGGCCAAAAAGGGTCAACTCATCTAATCGTTAACTCATCTATTCGTTAACTCATCTACACGGCCAAAAAGGGTCAACTCATCCAATCCTTCGGAACGAGACTATTGAGTACCGGCAGTTTGAGTCCATGGCCAGTTGAGTCTCTAGCCGGTTAAGTCCCTGGTCAGTTGAGTCCCGGCCGTTTGAGTCTCTGGTAAGTTGAGTCCATGACCAGTTGAGTCCATGACCAGTTGAGTCCATGACCAGTTGAGTCCATGACCAGTTGAGTCCATGACCAGTTGAGTCCATGACCAGTTGAGTCCCTGGTCAGTTGAGTCTATGACCAGTTGAGTCCATGACCAGTTGAGTCCATGACCAGTTGAGTCCCTGGTCAGTTGAGTCTATGACCAGTTGAGTCCATGACCTGTTGAGTCCATGACCAGTTGAGTCCCTGGTCAGTTGAGTCCATGACCAGTTGAGTCCCTGGTCAGTTGAGTCTATGACCAGTTGAGTCCATGACCATTTGAGTCCATGACCAGTTGAGTCCATGACCAGTTGAGTCTCAACCGGCGGTACTCTACTGGCCATGGACTCAAACGGCCGGTACTCAATAGTCTCGTTCCGAAGGATTGGATGAGTTGACCCTTTTTGGCCGTGTAGATGAGTTAAGGATTAGATGAGTTAACGATTAGATGAGTTAACCCTTTTTGGCCGTGTAGATGAGTTAACGAATAGATGAGTTAACGATTAGATGAGTTAACCCTTTTTGGCCGTGTAGATGAGTTAACGAATAGATGAGTTAACGATTAGATGAGTTGTATAGGAGCCATTATTTTCCCTCACCACCAAACAACAACTTATAGAACAACATTAAATGTTCCTCCAAAATACAGCAATACTTTAATTAATAAACAGACAAAAGGAATACTTGGAATAAATTCACTTTTGGGTAGAAGAAGGTATTTTAAGAAATAAATTTTTAAAAATATGCTCATTATAGACTAAAAAATAACAATGTAAGGGAAAGAAGATCAACGGAAGCTGATATTTTTGGAAATAAAAATTCTTTATCTTCCGCTTTAATTGAAATTGGGGCAAAAAAGAGTTTTTAACTTAAAAGAAAATTTACTTTAAATTTAAAGATCTCAACAATGCCAGTTAAATATAAATTAATAAAAAAATATTTTAATTCTAAAGAAAAATACAATAAATATTTACAATTTAGTTAAAATAAAACATAATGTAAAATTCCTTCCCGGAAACTCTTTTCATTAAAATTAAAATTACTAGAATACTTTTTTCAACCGGAAAGGAAATTTATGTACTAAAAATTGGTAAGAAATTTTTGGAAAATTCGTTAAGAAAGTTTTCGTACACAATAAATGATTGATAGAGATCGAGATTTTTAAAAAGCCTGGGCCAGTTCTTGGACTCTGGGGTTTGATTTATTGACCTGGGCCGGATCCTGGGTCTGTAGTTCAGGAAAAACCCAGGAGGTCACAAAATGCCTGGGCCTGGACTCTGGGTTAATCTTTAGGAATAAATAAATGTCCATGCCCAGCTCGATCTCTATGATTGAAGAATATTAAATTAAAATATTTACTTACTTTCATCTCTTTCTTTTTTTTTTATAATATTAAAATTGATTCAACAAAAGTCTAAATTTTAATTTTAAAAATTAGAAAAATTAAATTAAACCTTTAACGATTTTATTTCATTATTTGAAGAATTATTTGTTGAATTTATTGTTTTATTTTCATTAATTTTAATAATATTTTTGTTATAATAATCTTTTGGAATAAATGAATGTAAAAATAAACAAACACCAATTACCTTTAGGAAAATAAAATAATTTTTAAATTTAAATAAATAATTTCAAAAATTACCACAGATAAACTTAAAATAATAGAAATAAAAAGAAAACAATAAGAAGCTGCTGTTCTGTTCCACCATTTTCTATCCCTTTTAAGTCTAAGTTCTGTTGTGTCCGAAACTTTAAAATTAAAAATATTATTTTAGAATTGAGAAAATAAATTAGGTTCACTAATAAATACACTTTTGGGGCCGGACGAATCTTATAATGAAGTATGGATACAGATTTAACAACTGGCCAATCAAAGCTAAGCCTTACCGAGGTCAATATCTTAAAGTTATGTCTGCCTGTTATTTGGTGTATTTTAAAGTAGAGTAGAGGCAAATTTGGACCCTTGACCGAGGTTCTGAGGCTAAGGCCGGGTCGATCTGTGGTCAAAATTAGAAAATGGTTGAAGGCCTCGAGTAGAGGGGCAAATTTTGACCTGACCGAAGTTCTAAGACCAAAGCTGGGTCGATCTGAGGTCATGACTAGAAAATGGACGAAGGCCTCGACCTTGACCTCTTATATTGAGGTTTGATAGAATTTTAATTTTAGAATTTATACAAAAATTTTTACTTAAAAATTGTTGTTGATTTTTTAAATTATTTAATTCTGAACGTCCACCGGACATATTATTATTTGATGTTGAAGAATCAATTCAATTCAATTCAATTTATACGTAAAAACGTGACATTCAGATAAAAATAAAATGAAATGTAAATATAATTTAAATCAAAAGTTTTGTATAAGGTCTGGAGACAATAGAGTGGAATTTGACTTTGATAAAATATTGTTTAGGTTAATATTGTTTAGGAGCTTTGGAAACAATTCGATTGACGATTTTTGTAATTCTATTGGAAGTTTTTTGTAAATGTTTGGTATGTCTATAAAAAATGAATTTTTCCGAATGGTGCTTGAACAAAAGGGTATAAATAAATTATGCGGATTACCTCTGGTAGTGGTGGGTAGGATGCTATATGTATTATCGTGTTTTAGATTAATTTTACCTAAAATAATATTATGGAAAAGGATGAGATTTGATTTTAAACGTCTATGCGATAGAGATTCAAGTTTGAATATGTCAAGGAGTTCTTTATAATTAGGTAATATTGGGCTGTTATTGTGTTTCATAGAGCGTAAGTATATTATTTTTAAGAATTTATGTTGCACATTTTCTAAAGCGTTTATGTCTTTATTTAAATAAGGGTTAATTATAGGAGATCCAAATTCGAGGATAGGTAAGACATATATTTTGAATAGAGTAATTAGGAATTGAGTATTGTTAGTTTTAAGAGATCTTATAAGAGTATAATAAATTCTAGTTGCTTTATTTGTTGTGATTTTAATGTGAGAATCCCATTTTAAGTTGGATGTAAAATAAATGCCAAGATCGCGAATAGGTTCGTTGGGTGGAATGGTTGGTATATTAATGTTTTGTAGAGAATATTGGTGGAAGGGATTTTTAGTCCCTATGTGAAATGAACTGCATTTGCTGACAGCGATTTTAAGGCCATTTATTTCGCAGTATTTTGAGAATGTTTGGATAAATGTTTGGAGTGGAGAGTAGTGATTTTTGTTTAGGAAGTCAAAGCAGGTATAGGCCTTTAAATCGTCAGCAAATAGTTTTGGAGTAACTTTGTCTGTTTTACAAAAATCAATTATATCCGAAATATATGAGATGAATAAGATTGGGCCTAGGATGGACCCTTGAGGGACTCCGCTTGTTATAGGATATTCATTAGAATTTTTTGATTCGACAAGAACTGTAAATGTTCGATTTAACAGATAGTCCTTAATCCAATTTAGTAAGGTGCCAGTGATACCTAGATGATAGAGTTTTTTCAGAAGGCGATCGTGGGGAACAGTATCAAACGCTTTTGCAAGGTCGAAGAATATAACGTCAACACATTTCTTATTTTCAATAGCTAATGTGTAGTCGTTATAGGTTTCTAGGAGTTGAGTTATAACTGAATGGTTTTTACGGAAACCATGTTGGCAAGTGGGAAGGTAATTGTTAGTTTCAAGAAATGAGGTTAATTTATTAGAGATAATTCGTTCTAGAATTTTAGAAGTTGGGCATAGAAGAGAAATAGGTCGAAAATCTTTAGGTTCATTAGGGTTACTATTTTTAGGAATAGGGCGGATTATTGACTTTTTCCAAATGGTTGGAATTTTACTTGTCATAATTGACATATTGAATATAATTGTTAGTGGAGTGGTTAATGAGATTGCTGTATTTTTTAAGAAAATGTTGGGGATTCCGTCTGGGGATATGTTATTAACATTGTCAAGTTTGTTTATGATGCTGTAGATTTCCTCTGGATTGATATCAATAAAAGATAAATTATTTTTGTTAGAAGTTTTTATGTCAGAGGAGTCAAAGTTAGAAGAGTTAAAAACAGATTGAAATTGTTTTGCCAGACATTCGGCTTTATCTTTGTCTGAAATGGTAAATTGATCGTTGATGTTGAAGATTGGGATTTTAGTTTTTTTGGATTTAAGGAAGGCCCCTATATACTGAAATCTAGATCGTAGATCGTTGAATTTCGAGATTTCTCTGTTTTTAAAGAAACGAGAAATTTCTTTATCGATTTTTTGTTGCGTGAGAATGTATTTTTCACGGATAGCAGGTTTATTAATATTTTTCCATAAAAGATTTTTATATGAGATCATTTTTTGAATATGATTAGGGAATTTAGAACAATCTTTATTGATCTTTTTTAATGGTATGAAGTTTTGGATTATTTGATGAATGATTTCTAAAAATAAGGTGTATTGGGAATCTACATCAGTGCAATTTAAAAACAAAGTATTCCAGTTTAAACCAATTAGGATATTGTTAATATGATTGTAATCGGCATTGTGGAAGTCAAGGATGAATTCTGGTTCTTTTGGGAAATATTTGAAATTTAAACTAAATTCAATAGTGTTATGATCAGAATTTTTGAAGGGGGCGTTAATGATAATATTTTTTGCAACGCGAGAGGCAGAAGAGGAAAAAAGTAAATCAAGATAATTATCTTTTCTGGTTGGGGAAGAGATTTCTTGAAATAGGTTATAGTTTTCTACAAATTCGATAAATAATTTTTCAGACGGTGATTTGTGGTTGAGAGCTATAGGTATATTTGTCTGCCAGACTAGGTTGGGGAAATTAAAATCACCTACAATTATGTAGTTATGATTAATGGATATTAAGTAACTTAATGTCTCAAGAAATTCTTGGAAGTCATTAAAGTTTTCGTTTGTGGTAGGACGGTAAACAGTTATTATTCGAAATTTGTCGAATTTGGGAGAAAATATGTCTATAGCTACAATGTCGGAATTTTTATTTTTAGGGATTTTAACGGGAGAGAAAGGAATTATATTGTCTACTAAAATACAAGCACCACCGCCCCTAGAACCTCTATCGCATCTAATAATGGAATAAGATGTGGTATGTAAAATTTGGGAGTTATCGATTTTTTTGTTCAACCACGATTCGGAAATACAGATTATTTTAAAGAATTTGGAAATTAAAAGTAATCTTAAGGAATCTAATTTGTTAACTAAGCTCCGGCTATTAAAATAAAGACATTTATAAAAAGGGGAACTCTTTAAAAAATTTTTTAAAACCTTGAATCTTGGACGACCATTTAATGGTTTTTTGTTCTTTCTGTCACATTGACACTCATCTTTTTATTGTATTCATCTCGTTTCTTAGCACGTTCATTTTTTTCAGCTTCCAATTGTTCTCGAGTAAGACTTGGCCTGAGCAACAAACGAGACCATTTATTTTCTTTTTTCATTTCCACTCTGTGTCGTTTCCATTCAGCAAGAGAAATTCGCTGAAATTTTGAAGCCCCAAAGACAATTTTAACTAAACGACAACCTTTAGCAGTTGGGTCATACTTACCCATTCTATACGAAATGAATGGGCTCTCAACCCCCAACAAGTTGAGTACATCTTCAATTGCTGCTTTATCTTCAACAACACGAATTGATGGTGTTGTTGATTTAGATTCTTGTAGACCAATCATAACAATTGAACGGTTGCGTTCTTGTTCGCTTGCTGCTGACTCGTTGTTTTTAAAATTTGTTTCTATTGTTGTTTCAATTGTTTGAATTTTAGATTCAATAGTTGTTAAGGCATTTTTAATTTGAAGAATTTCATTAGAAAATGAAGAAAATTTTGTGTTGTTGTTATCGATTTTTAATTCTAAGGCAGCCAATTTATCGATTATTTGTTGTAATTCAATCAAGTGAATATAATCGTTTTCCTCCACAATTCTCGTTAAATCCACTACTTGAATTACTTATATCAACACCACTTGAACTAACACGTAAACAATTAGTTGAGGGAGATAAATTAATTGAAGGCCAATTATCTACTAAAAATAAATATTTAGTAATTAGAATGGACATAAAGGGGCTGTTAATTAGTTGGGGATTTTTGGAAAGGCATATTTTTGGGCCCAAGTTTTTCTATTTGATTTTTTTTAGTTAACCAACAGCTTTAATTTAAGGAAATTTATTTAATAAAATTAGTTTTCTCCAATAAAATCGGGGGGTTTGTCGGCTGATTTAAGCTTATGCTTGAATTTTACTAGTTAGCGGTTATCCTTGATTTTAGTGTGTTAGATTTTAGAAGTTAGGTTAGCCGCTTGTGTATAATGTAATTCTTAATAGTAAAATAATTGTTATAAATTATTTTTAAAGTTTTTTTTATAAAATTTTAGAAAATATTTATTTAATTACAATTTAAATAAGAATATAATTTTTGATCTTAAAAATCACAAAATAAATATTTACTAACTAATAGACAACTGTTACCTTCTGCTTAAATTTTTCTAATAAATTAAATTGTCAAAAGACAAAAAAATATATAAAATTCTATGTAGGAAATAAAATTATTTTTAATTATTTTTCAATAAAATAATTTTAAATATTTTGAGGTCAAAGAAAAACTTTGAACTTTTTTAGCTTAATTTTTAGAGAAATAAAAATTCTTTTACCTTCATTATTCTCTTTTGTAACAACTTTTCCATTAATATTTCCATTTACCAAAATTTTTGGTTGACCCCCACTCCCACCAATTATTGTTTGTTCATTTAAAGGAAGTGCTCCCTCCGAACATCTTTAATATTTTAATTTAGAAATATTTTTTCAAAAAAACCTTTTTAAATGGGTAGAGGGGATTTTAAATGTACTTAGTTTAGCTACTCCTTGAACGATTCTTTCACAAGATTTAGGTTGTTGAGTGTTATTTTGATTTTGTTGTTGTAAATAACCACTCATTTTTGATTGAAAAATTTTTTCAATAATTAGCAAGTTTTTTATTTTTTGATAAAAAATGGTTAAGATAAGATGGATCTTAAACAATTTAAATAAATAAAAACAATTAATTTCATTTAAAAGAATATTACAGACAAATCTCGATATCTTTTATTTCCATTATACGTCTCTCAATTCGATCCAAAGGTGAGTCAGAAATGCCGAAGGAGTAAGAAGTAGCTTATGTCAGAGTTACGACCAAGGCTGGACGCAATTGCGGATTGCTGGATGTTGCGTTGAATTTCGTGGTTTTTTGATTGCGGCTGAGAAAATTTTTTTTCAATTGCGCCGAATCCTGGTTCCAACCCAATGTTTGATTCAATTCCGATAGTGGATTGAATTTTTTTCATCAATTAAATCCCGATAGTGGACATCTTATCAATTCAACTAATTAATGGAGGCCCTCAAAATTTTTTACAAGCAATAAAATAAGTAAGATATAAAAAATACTCTTGTATTTATTATTAATTAAATATGTAGGACGTAGTTAATCAAAAATAAAAAAGAATTCTTTTTAATAAAAAATTTATTAATATTTTATATCAAATAAATTTATTCAAGCATTAATTCTTAAAAAGGACAGAAATAGATCCTTTTTCTAAGGATGACAAGTAATAAATTTAAATAGAAAAAAGAATGAGCAATAAACAGAAAAAGGAGGTTTAGCTATTGCCAAAATTAAATTTAAATTGAATTTTTCCGCTTAATAGGGAAAAAATAATATAGGTAATATTATTTTTTGTTGGGGTAGTAAAGAAACACTTAAATTGATGAGAAAAAAAATATTAAAATGAAAAAAAGTTTTTTGATGGAGGAATTTATGGAAGTTTGAATAAAATAAAAATTTATTTATGAATATTATATTTATAAATTTTTTTTAAAATATTTTATCTACAGAGCGAGAGATTTTCAAAAACCCTTGATCTTGATTTCGGTTAGGTACCTTGATCAGATTCTTGTCCTTGAGTCAAGGAAAAATCAATGAACGTTGAAAAATGCCTTGATCTGGACTCTGGATCCAGGAAAAATCAAGGTCTGGATCCAACTCGCTCACTAATTTTATCTTCAAAAAAGCTTTTTTAATTATGGTGTGTTAAGAAATTAAAACTCCACTTAATTTTTTTATGTTTTTCTAAGTTCCGGTTATCCAATTAATCTGAAATTTTTATAGGAGATTTATCTACGCTAGTGGACACTGCCCAAAGAATTAAAGAAAATATTTCACTAGCTCGATTTTTATCGAGTTTTTCTCAAAGATTGGTGTTCAGAAATTATAACTCTTAAAATTTTTGATTTTCCTATAGGAAATGATAGAAAATTCTACAAAGATTTCTGTGTTTAAAATTATTATCCACGCAAAAATAATTTTAATAAAATAAATTATTAAATAAAATAAATTTTTTAAATAATAATTATTTAACAAATATTTTTAATTAATTTAAAAAATTTTTATTATTTTCTAAATTTTCTGAGGAAAAATTTAAAAAATTTATTTTAACAAAACAGAAAGGCATTTTTTAAAAAATAATATTAAATTAACATCCATATATTTTAGTACATGTACGAAATTCTCGCTTCAATTCCCTCAATTTCTTTTTTTTTCCTTTTAATCAACTAAAAAATTCCATCAAGTTTTATTTTATATAATTAATTTTTTTGACTCAATTAAAGTTTTATTTTAATTTTTGAAAAAAATATATGCACCGGAAATTGTTTAAAAAAATTTTTTTGTGGTAAATTTATTGAAAAATTAAAAAACTCAATTACCGTAAATGCTATAATTAAAACACATTCTAATAGAAGCACACTCTACGAAAGGATCGAAAATAGAAGCACAGTCTCAAATTGAACCCAATATCCAATAGAAGTACACCCTACGAGGAAATCGAAAAATACAAGAACATGTGCTTCTATTAGAGCATTTACGTCAAATAAAAAATATTTTTTTTTAAATTTTAAATACTAAATTAGAAAATAAATTCTTTTGTAAATTAAATTTAATTTAATTTTTTTATTTTATTTTTACAGGAGATTATATCTATTATTTTATCTATTACAATAAAAATGTTTGTATATTGCTTACAATTAGCATTCAATTCGATTTGATTTTAGAGATAAGAAGGAAGAAATTAAATAAATAAAATATACTTATAGGCTTTAAAAATACTGTTTATATTTTTGTTCTTTTTTAATTTTATTTTTATTGATAAGAATTATAGACAAATTAATTTATTTATGTTTTCTCGATATTAATGTTCACTTTTATTATTTTTAATAGGGTTGGGACAAAACCAGGTAACTAAACGGTAATAAAAATGTTTGTATAGAAAATGTTTGTACAACAAACAATAAAAATGTTTGTACAATTAGCATCCAAATATGTATATATATTGAATGCTAATTCGAGGATATCGGTGACATCGAGGTATTTAAGGGATAAATGATATCTATGAATTTATCAGTATTAATCACCGATATCCTCGACTTCCCTCATTCTTCCGATAGCCCTTCTAATCCGCTGATATCCCGTTTAAACGGGGTCTTCAAAATTAAACGAAACATTATACGGGTCTCAGATAAACGGTATTTTTTCAAAATTAAACGGTTTTGTCCAACTCTAATTTTTCAATTCAATATATATTAGAAAATAAATATCTAAAATATTTTCTGAAAAAATATTTTTGAAAAATTCTCTTATAGAAATTTCGAGATTTCCACGATTTCTGGGAAGCCTGTTAATTAAAATAATATTAAATAATAAATTATAATAGAACCCTTTTCTTTCAAAAATATTGTTTTTAATTAAGATTAAATTAATGTTTAATTAAAGCCAAAAATGAGTATTTCCTCTAAACTTTTGTTTAATTTAATTTTTTTATTTTATTTTACTTGGATTTATGCCACCTTAAAATACGATGATGAATTTATTTCAAATAAATTAGAAGAGGATAATTTTTGGGATAACTTACTGAATCGTCAAAAGCCAGAAAATAAAGAGTAAATAATTTTTTGTAATTAAGTAATACAGTTAAATCTCGATTGTAAATACGAGCTCAGACCGAATAAAATTCAATTGTAAATACTGGGGGTTTCTCATAGGCGGCAGCCCTCCCCATCGGGACACGGCCAAATTTGCTTCAAGATTCCCGAATCTTACCAAATTTATTATTAAACGAGTTGGTGCCAAGAGATTAGCGCCAAAATTGATAAGAGCCAGAGATTTTCAGCAAGTTATGGCTTTGCGGGCTGTACCTCTCCTTTTGGGCTGTACCCCATCCATAGGTTAACAGAATTTAAGCAAAATTTTACGATTAAGGCGTGTTTGTTATTGAGTATATTTACAAGGGAAATCAGATCCAAAAAAAGTAATATATTTTAATTAAATCATTTAGTTCCAATAAATATTATAACCCTGTTGAACAACTACAAAGTTTGGATGACCCATGGCCCAAAAGTTTTTTCAATAAAAGTATAACAATTTGTGCTGATGTAAAATCCCCAAATATAGTCTACAAAATAGATGGAGGGGATATTACTAAATGTAAGAAAGGTCAAAAAGCAGTTGCCGTTGGAAATTATAGAAATGGGCAGAACGAGACTGGGTAGATTTTAATTTCATTTGTTTTTAAATTAAATTAAATAGTTGGGGAATTTTGGAAATTGAGACATTTGCTGATTTTTCTGAAGAAATTCAGTCATATGCTGCTGGACTTGCAGAAGGTAAAATTTTGCTAGTTAGTAAACTAGCATACAAAAATATTATTATTCATTCATATTCTTTCTCGTAAAAGGCCGAATCGGTCCGTGATATTCAATAAACTTTTAAAGGAAAAGATCTTATTAAGTAAAAAATGTATTTGTAATTTTAAATTAATTTTCTTTGACATTTTTACTGAATTTTTCTTTCAATTTACCACTTAAGATTACCGTATTTTCTCAAGTAATTCCCCTGGGGAATTAATATTTCAACCTATCCATGGGATGGGGAATTATCCGAGAGAGGGAAATTTTTCGAGTTTTGGCATTTGAACGTGCGGTAGGGTATTGTTTCAACCCAACTCTGGCATGGGGAATTAATCGAGAGTGGGGTCTCCATAGATCACCTTATTAATTAAATATTTTATTAATAAGATTTTTATGAAGATGGAGACATTTATTGTACTTATTTTTCAAAAAAACATCCCTCAAAATTAAAATTAATTTATTAAATTATTAAAGGTCTTCTAACTAAAAATCAAATTTATCTTCATTATCTAAACACCGCTAGTCAAATATGTAATAATGCAAGTGAAGGATATTGTGATCAATTACATAATTATATTAAAACTAATCTTAAATGGATTAAATCGAAAGTTTAAATTTTAATTTATTTAAATTTAAATTTTAAAATATATTAGGTTAATTCATTAGCTAAAAATGATATTTATTGGCGTCATGTTGAGTTGGTTAGAAAATTAGTTTAAATATTTTTTTAATTAAATATTTTTTAGACTTTTACACAATTAACTGGAATTAATGATGGTTGGAAATATTTGAAATTTAAAATTAAAAATATTATTAAGACTATATATTCTCTAGAATACCCCTCTCTCCTCCCTAAAAAATAAATATAAAAATTTTGGATTTTTGGAGTAAATTTGTATTATCGGAATTTTGATTTGTAGTCGACCCCCTTCTGAGATAAGCCACTTTTTAATAAGCCACCACCACTTTTTTCTCTAAAAAAGGGGAAACCTTAAACTGATACTATAAGATTATCAGCAAATTAACTGGGTTAAAAAATTTTCATCATAAATTATTTTATGTCAATTTATTTTAATAAAGGTTATGAAGATATTAATCTTTATGGTGATTATTATCCACGTGTTGAATTTAAAAATAATTCAATCCTTTTAATTCAAATGTCTGGTGATTTTTATGACTTGGAACACGTTTTTAAAAAGAATCCGAATTTGGAAAGTGAACCAAGTCATTGTTCTGGATTTATTAAAATAACTGAAGGAAATGAAGATTTGTATGTAATTAAATAATTTTAAAAAATTATCATATACCAGAGCTGGGAAATGTTAAGTTTAAGTACAAAAAATATGATTTTTAAGTACATACTGGAAAAATATGTAGGATTTAGAAAAATACAATTATAAAAATTGTACAATCCACAATTCACGAAAATTGGGAATTTGGGTTTTTGCCGGCGCGATCCCTGATAAATAAAATTTAAAAAATTTATTTTTGTCCACAACTCTTATATCTCTTTCCAAAACGGAAATTTTAAAGAGCATTAAAATTTTTCTGTGAATTGTTATAACCTCTATACAGAACAAAAACTAAAACTGGCACCTTCCCATTGTGTGTTCACAAACTTTATCTTACAATTTGATTAAAAAACTTAGAATTAGAAATATTAAGAGGACTAATTTCAAAATAATTAATTTATAATAGATTAATGTCTCATGTATCAATGGCTGGATATAATACAATGAATAGAATATTAAAACTTTACAAATTTGCTTTTGGTTCCTTTAAATTATTTTTTAACCAAATTTAATTTAAAGATACTAAAAAATCCCCTGGTAATATTGTTACTTTCTCTGGTTATCCAGCTGCTTTATCTTCAGCCGATGATTATACACTAACTAGTGCTGGATTGGTTAGAATAATTTAATTTTATTTTTTAAATTTAAAAATAAAAAAAGCTTTCAATCGAAACAACAATTGCTGTTTTTAATGAACCTTTGTATGAAAAAGTAAAAGAAAACAAACATTTACATTGTTGGTTACGTTCATATCTTGCTAATCGCTTATCTAAAACTGCTCGGGATTGGGTACAACTGTTTGGACGGTAAATGAAAGAAAATAATTTTAAATAATTTATTTATTAAATTTTAATATTTATTTAAAAATGCAGTTAAACCTCATTTTGGAAACCCCCAAAATTATAGATTATACCCTTTAATTTCTAACCAATCCACCGCTCCTAAAGTTATTATTACGGTACCCCTTCGATCGCCGAAACCCTCGCCCACGACGATCTATAAGCTAAACCTCAGACTCGAACACCAAAGGCTCTCCATCACTCCCTATTACAGAGGGTCGAGTGCGATTCTAGTTGCTACATATTATAATAAATCGTATCCACTGATTATAGAATAATTTCCAGCTTTAAAGGTGTATCTAAAAATGAGGTATTTATTTTAGTTATAATTCTGGCACTTATAATAATCAATGGACTGTAAGTCTATATTTAATTAATAAATATTTTTTTAATTAAAGGTTCTCGACTATAAATTATTTAAACCAAAACAAGAATTACCCCAAACAGATTTAATTTGGATTTTGGAACAAATTCCGTTAGTTCTTTCCCCAAAATTAATTAAATAAATTTAATTTTCGTTTTTAAAGAGGCCTTGTAGTTAGTAGAGACGTTACTTGGTTTATTAAAAGTTATGGTTATTGGCCTTCTTATAATATTCCCTTTTTGTCTAAAATATCTGAATTGAGTGGATTTAGTGCTAAAGGACAAATAAATAATTGGTGGAGATGGGGGTTTACACCTAGAGCTAAAATATTTCACAGAGATCATAAGAAAGTTAAAGATTTGAAAACATTGAGAGAATTAATGCGGTAATAATATTTTTTAATTTAGAATTTTATTAAAATTCACAATTAATTTTTAAATACTAATGTAGAAACCTCAATTTTTGATTGAAATATAGTATTTTATAATGAGATGTTTATTTAATAGGAGGTATTGTTTAGATACAGAACTATTGTGAAAGTTCGATTTTCGAGTGTTTATCTTTCGATTTACGTTTTCGAAGCTTTTTTAGTTTCGTGCTCTGCTTAGATATGTAGCTCACTTTGCATTCAGCCAATCAGATTCTAAAAAAATCCGGTCTTAAATGAGATTCCACGTAAAATCTAGGTCTACCTTAATTTACCATTTTAGTTATAACAATTACCAACATGATGAATATTCTCGTTGCAAATGTACACCACCATATTCCGCTGAAGTAATTAATTCTCGATTTATATTTATTTTCTTCAGATTATTTTTTTAAAAATTATTTCCATTAAAGGCAAGTATTTCAACTAGGGGAGATCTTAATAGACCTGATGGAAAATGGGAAGTGCCTGGAATGGGTTTTAGAAATCACGGTTCTATTGACTATAAAGGAACTAATTTTGAATTATTTAAACAATTACGTTTTGAGGTTTCTGGGAGGGAAATAAAATTAATTTAAAAATTAATTTTTAGGTAGTTGGAGGGCCGACATATGGAGGGCCTGGAAATTTGCCTTATTTTAGGTGTTTTTTAATATTAAAAATTAAAAAAAATATTTTTTTCTAAAAAAGTTGGGCAACAACAAAAATAAATACAACACATTTTGGGCAACCAATAAATTGGAATTTTACTGAATTTGCTACTCAATGGACAACAAAAATTCCTAAAAATATTATTTAATTAATTGGAGGAAATAAAAAGAATAAAAAAAAGAAATAGTTAAAAATAAATAAATATTTTTTATTAATTAATTAACAAGTAAATAAATATTTAAATTATTCAAAAAATAAATTATGTTTTTGATTATATGTAAAGCCAAGGAAATCATTTTCCAAATCAACAAAAGTTTGTGAGGGAATTAATGAAGCTAGAAAAATATAAAATAATATGAATCTTTTAATATTAATTTTGATTTTTAATCATTTTTAAGAAAATAGTTTTAAAATAACTAAACTAGAGACTGGATCGAGACGAGATCTAGAACAACAATTTCGATTATCGTACGTAAGATTTTTCTAGATATCTCGTATTATTCTCGTAAAAGCCTCCCATTGTGGTTTCTAAATTAAACTATTAGGTTAATGTTATTTAATTATACATTCCTAAGAAGGCTATAATCCTAAGAAGGCTATACAAAATTGAGAATTTGATTTTATTATATTCTCCCACTTTAACTAAAACATAAATTGTATTAAATAAAAAATTCTTCCACACCTGGATTTGGTTCAATATCAGTAAATGTTCTTGAAATATTTATTGTATCTGTTTCACTCCTTATTTTAGGTATAAACGGTGCCCTAATTTCTCTTTTATTTAATTTTTCCCAGTCAATTAAAGCAAAGAAGGGATGAAAACAAATTTCCTTTAAAAAAATTATTTTTAACTTAAAAATTAATTTAATTAAACATCAAAATTTCTCGCTCCAAGTCGTTCAAAACGATTTTTTCGAAGAATTCTTTGTAGAAAATTTCTAGCAGATAAAGAAATATTTGAGGGTATAATTAATTGCTGATTAATTATTTTTTGATACATTTCTTGTTGATTTTTGCTGTAAAATGGAGGTAATCCAAATAACATTTCGAATAATACACAACCCAAACACCACCAATCTACTGTACGATCATAAGGTTTTTTTTCAATTACTTCTGGTGCTATAAAAATTTTGGAAAATGAATGAGGATTTTTATTCTATAAGCTAAACCTCACTAACCCCTTGGGGCTGGAATTGTACCTTATAATGAGGGATATATTAAATAAGATAGTTCACCCCCACCCTTCTCCCACATAATGGCCAACCAAGAAATATTTATCAACTTTTGGGGGTATTTGCTATTCTCTATGTGACAAATTTCTCAATTCAGCCCTGTAGCTTAATAGCGACTGCGACTGTATTCATGAACGAAATTCGACATTTTACTTTACCTAAATATTCAGGTGTTCCACAAAAAGTATTTGTTGTGTCCTTCGATTTGATTCCTTCTTTGCACAAACCAAAATCAGTCAAAACAACATGTCCATAACGGTCTAATAATATATTTTCTGGTTTTAAATCTCTATAAATAATATTTTGTTCATGTAAATATCCAATAGCACTAGCCATTTCTGCCGAATAAAATCTTGCTTTAGACTCACAAAATGAACGTTCTTTTTGTAAATGAAAAAATAACTTTAATTTAAAGAGATATTTTATTAAAAATATTTTTTAAATATTTACCTCTCCTCCATTTAAAAAATCCAAAACAAAATACAATTTATTTTTTGTTTGAAAACTATAATGAAGAGAAACCAAAAATGGGTGATTTATATTTTTTAAAAGAACATTCTTCTCTGCCATTACATGTTTAACTTCATCACGACGTTTTATTTGTTCCTGATTAAAAAATTTTATTTCTTTTTTATTTGATTAGTCAAGCCTCATTTTTAGATAACCCCATATCAGGGAAGTGCCGAGACTGATTTTAAAAAGCGAAAGGCAAAGGTTGATTTAAAAAGGCGAAACTGGCACATTCCTGCTCAATACAAACCCAGGGGTGTGCCGAAAGTGATTTTAAAAAGCGCAGGACGAAAGGCGAAAATATGAAAGTCAAAACTCGCACACCCCTGATACACACCTCAATTTAAAATGTTTTTTAAATTTATTGATCAAAGAGTGAGGGAAATGCCTAAGAAACATCTTTAATTTAAGGTATCCCCAGGATGAAGTAACGGTTTTTAGCCTCAAATGGGTTTAAGGTTTGATTGTATTAATTTTAATTAAGCCCTACTTTAACTAAGACTTTCATTGCATATATTTTTCCATCTAAATTATGTCTAACCATATAAACACGCCCAAAACTTCCTTGCCCAATTGTTTTTAAATAATCAAAATGACTTGGTTTTATACTTTAAAAATTAATTTAAAAAATATTTTTTAATTTTTAAAAACCTTCTCTTTTCAGAATTTCTTAAATAAATATAATTTTCATCAAATAAATTAATTAATTGGCCAAAAAATAATTGAATATCTGAACTAAAAATAATTCATTTTTTATTCAAATAAATTTATTTATTTACTTTTTAAAATATTTATTAATCAAATAATTAATTATAGCTTCAACCCAATTTTTTCTTTTTTCAATTATTTTTTGTTCTGAAACAAGAAATTTTCTTTTTGGTGGAGTTTTGTCTAAATTTGAAGGTAAAATTGATTTGAAACGTTCAAAAAATTGTTGTAATTCTGTAAAACTTTTTTGAATAGAAATTGATGTATTTAATAGATTTTTTAATTCAAAAACCTTAAAAAATACATAAATTTAATTTAGATTAAATGGTATGTAATAGTTTGGAAGTCGCCCCCCCCCTTTTCCCTGCCCATTTTGAGGTTTTTTGTTTGATATATAAATTATTATATATCATTCGAAAGAGCTCTTCAAGCTTGATCGAATGATACCACGATTTGCTAGATCTAATGATTCTTACCAAAAATTATTATGCTAAATCATAGATGGGTAAACTTTTTGTGCTAATGCAAGGGAATAAAATAAACGGCTACAACTTTGTTCACTAAAGTCAGTTTTCGTTAATTTTAATTTTATTCGACTCAGCTCGAAGGGCTCTTTTGCATGATATCTAATTTGCCATAAGATGAGGAAAAACTAGGAAAAAAAAGAAAAGAAAATAGGTAGGGGCGACTTCCAAACTATTACCAAGCAAATTAAAAATAAATTACCATTTCTCCTCCTTTTTCATCACTTAAAGGCTTACAAATAATATAATTTTTGGAATTTTCTATAGATTCTTGACTATCACTTTTAGTAAAAATTCTTTTGATTGTCATTTCAATTTTTTAAAATAATTAATTAATTATTTCAATAAATATTTAATATACATAAACTTTAAAAAGAGAAGAAGGGAATCCTTTAAAAATTAAAATAAAATGCTTGAACATTCTACACAGTTTTTTGCTTTTTTTGTTCATTTCTTGTTGCATTCCATCTTTATCAACAATCTGGAAATAAACTACAAATGTTTAGATAAGAAAATGTAATTAATAAAATATAGAGGGACTGATTGTTATACATATGTATGTACCTTTTATTGTGAATTGAATTAAATTAATATTTAAATAAAAAGCATGACAATCTTTTTTGCGATTGTTGGTCGAAGTCGAGGGTAATATTGCATTATCTATTCAGATTTTTATTTTCTTTATTCCTATAAAGAAATTAGGTATGATGGGATTTTTATGACTATTAAATTTGAAAATAAATGAAAAATTCAGATTTTCTGAGAGAAGGAAGAATTTTAATTTCGAAAATGACATATATACATGTTTACTTTCACAATTCTCTCTTTATAATCACACGAAATCCTAAAATAATATAATTATGCATTATTCTATAGCATTATTTCTATTCTACATGTTTACTTTCACAATTCTCTCTTTATAATCACACGAAATCCTAAAATAATATAATTATGCATTATTCTATAGCATTATTTCTATTCTACATGTTTACTTTCACAATTCTCTCTTTATAATCACACGAAATCCTAAAATAATATAATTATGCATTATTCTATAGCATTATTTCTATTCTACATGTTTACTTTCACAATTCTCTCTTTATAATCACACGAAATCCTAAAATAATATAATTATGCATTATTCTATAGCATTATTTCTATTCTACATGTTTACTTTCACAATTCTCTCTTTATAATCACACGAAATCCTAAAATAATATAATTATGCATTATTCTATAGCATTATTTCTATTCTACATGTTTACTTTCACAATTCTCTCTTTATAATCACACGAAATCCTAAAATAATATAATTATGCATTATTCTATAGCATTATTTCTATTCTACATGTTTACTTTCACAATTCTCTCTTTATAATCACACGAAATCCTAAAATAATATAATTATGCATTATTCTATAGCATTATTTCTATTCTACATGTTTACTTTCACAATTCTCTCTTTATAATCACACGAAATCCTAAAATAATATAATTATGCATTATTCTATAGCATTATTTCTATTCTACATGTTTACTTTCACAATTCTCTCTTTATAATCACACGAAATCCTAAAATAATATAATTATGCATTATTCTATAGCATTATTTCTATTCTACATGTTTACTTTCACAATTCTCTCTTTATAATCACACGAAATCCTAAAATAATATAATTATGCATTATTCTATAGCATTATTTCTATTCTACATGTTTACTTTCACAATTCTCTCTTTATAATCACACGAAATCCTAAAATAATATAATTATGCATTATTCTATAGCATTATTTCTATTCTACATGTTTACTTTCACAATTCTCTCTTTATAATCACACGAAATCCTAAAATAATATAATTATGCATTATTCTATAGCATTATTTCTATTCTACATGTTTACTTTCACAATTCTCTCTTTATAATCACACGAAATCCTAAAATAATATAATTATGCATTATTCTATAGCATTATTTCTATTCTACATGTTTACTTTCACAATTCTCTCTTTATAATCACACGAAATCCTAAAATAATATAATTATGCATTATTCTATAGCATTATTTCTATTCTACATGTTTACTTTCACAATTCTCTCTTTATAATCACACGAAATCCTAAAATAATATAATTATGCATTATTCTATAGCATTATTTCTATTCTACATGTTTA